TAAGAGTTATAAGATCAGGAATTTTGGAAGATAATTGTGGATCACTTATACTACATAAAATTTGGTCAAGATCTTCAATACAATTAGCTCCGGGGGAATGTTGGAAATAATTGAGACAAAAAACTTTTTTAAAACCTTTAACAAATTGTATTGAGGATGGATTCATGTTATTACCATTTTGGTTACGCATGGTCTCAAATAAATTTTCTAAGCAATCTTGATTCAACCTACCAGTGCAAAGAGCATAATTTTTATTTTGGGTTGGGTTTAAGGAATGATATAGCATTTGCAAACCAGATATTGAAACCAACCATCCATTAATAAAGTTTACGCGTTTAGTAACGTCAGTTCCATTTAATTTGGTTATTACCTTCATGTTATTTAATACTTCAAACATTTCAGTTAAATGATTTGTTTGAGGAGAAATATTTTTGAAGGGGTTATTGTAAATTTTACTATTAGGAGTAGTTGACGAATTGAAAATATCGAATAATTTGTCCATATTATAAATAAAATATATTGTATGTTTTGCACTGGGAGGTAAAATCCCACAACTCATAGCGGTGGGCATGCCGGCAGCAACACTTGAACTAAATACCTGGGCTGCTAACCGTACTTTCATTTTTTCAAATGGCCCTGGATACACATGTGAATATGTTAATTTTGGGACCATGCGTAAATTACATTTCGAATCAAAATTGTAAAAAGTATCTAAGTAATTCTTTTCAACTAAATCACCATTAATCTCAAAATTATGTTTAAAAAACACATTACGCGACGATTTTAATAAGTGAGGGGGATCAAATATATATATATCACTTTTTCTTCGTCAACTTCAAAGTAAGGGTGAGTTGGAGTAACATGATTAATATTAGAAAATTGAATAAAATTTGAACCCTGATCAGTCATAAAAGCTTTTACTCTAATATTAATACTTCGAAGTCGGCGAATAGCTGAAAAAATAATGTCATTAAAATCCCTACCAGAATTGAGATCCGAATTGTATTAGAGATTAAGTAGTATGCAATTGGTTGCTTCCAATTTCAGTTTAATCCTCTGATCATGAGTACCAGAGCATGGTTAGCAGGTTCATATGTTTTCCCGGTTTTCAATTGATTTAAGCCAATAATTTTATCTTTGGAGACATTGTAAAAAAGATGTGATTTTATTGACATCTCATCGACACAAAGAAAGCAATCTAGAGCTTCAGGACGAAAGTTTCTCGTTTTAAAAGATAAGAAATTAAACATAAAATCATTTAGACCGGGTTTGAGCTCATATCGAGAAGTTATGTTTCTCAGCGTTCGAATATCGGGAAGGTAAAATGATTTTTGTAAAAATCTATAGACTTTAGGACCAAGAAAATTAATTGATAATGCCAGCTGTTTAATTTGTTTAGAATATCTTCTTGCACGTGGAGCCCTATCTGTATTAACAATATTATTTTTACCAACATAAAAACTGATGGCGATAAATACTGTTCGCAAAGCTCAAGGCATTTATCAGTAGTGTTTGTTTGCTCCAGCATTACTTTCAGGCGCGATACAGTTTTTTCCAGTTCTTTCTGTGTCTGAAGGGCTTCAACAAGCTGATTTCTATGTCCAAGTTTCCTTGGAGTTCTGGAAGACAAATCTTTAGAAGTTTGAACACTTGTTGAGGCCAATTCAATTCCTGTTGTTGTTGATACATCCGACATGGAAGAAGAACAATGAATATATGAGTGATCTAAGACAAAAGTAATTAAGAAGTAAATATTAAAAAGTTCTTAATGTTTTAATGTAAAACTATAATGTCATACCAGGCGTTGAACTATGTGATGGTTCATCGATTTGAAAATTACTTTCTCCTGACACAAGACTTGTACGGCCATCTTGTACATCCATAGACAGTTCAGTGGTAGTATAGTTTGCCAAGGAATCATCTGAAAATACGACATACTTATAATATACATTATACCTAGATTGCATATTATACCAAAAAAATTGTCCATTTCATGAATTGTACAATTTCACCTCAGGCGTGTAACATATATATAATGTAAACCTTACACAATAAGGTAATTCATCATCATCATCATGTAGCTTGACGGGCCATGCAGGCCCAACGCTGCCATCATGAGATGGTTTCTTGACGAATTTGCTTCCGGGACAAGTCGTCTATCCGTCGTCAATAAGGTAATTATTTAAATTAAATATATAACAACTATTTCTTTACCTACTGTGAAATATTGTAGGTATTGCATGCATGCTGAAAAAACCTATTTTTTTGAAAGTTGCTGAACATATTTACCTTCAAAATTTAAAGAGCATAGCTTGTGTTTTTTCGCAAGCTCAATTGGATCGGCGGTTGGAAGAAATATAGGGTTGCATTTCTCAACCCACAGAGCACATCTCACTGGATCTTTGGGGAAACTGAAGTATGATGTGTCATCATCGCTATTTACATAGACACTTTTGCAAAAAACAAGAGCGCATCGAGTGCCACCACTGTTGTATTTAACATACTTAGCCATTTTAATACTAAAAAATGTACAATAAAAAAATCACTAAAAACTAATTGTTGGTTATTGCATAGTAAAGGCTTTTCCACTTTAATGAATTCGAAAATAAAATGACTTTTTCGTAAAAATGTTTCGTCATTGACATGTAATTATGACGTCAATGTTATCATAGACTCAATAAACTTTTATACAGGGTAATCAGTATTACTTAAGACACTATTTTTTTTTTTTTTGAAAATACAGTTTTGCAGTTTTTCTTTTTAAAATTATTGTTACTGTTAAATATTAGACAATATTTTTAATTTTCTTTAAATCTTTTTTTTTTTAAATTTTTATCTCTTAAATTCTAAAGCTCTGTCAACATTTGAAACTTACTTTATTACAGCTTGAAATTAAGAACAATTAACTAAAAATGATGACTGTTAGCTGACCAGTTTTGATTAAATATTTTTTAATGTTTAAAATTTAGGACAGGAAGAATGGTGGGGTTAGGTAAATACTAATAATTTATTTAAACTTTTTCAATACTGTTTATCAACCAGTTTCAGCAAATTATTCTTAATTTTAAAAGGCCATTAAGTATATTAATAATTTACATGTAAAACATAAACAAATTTTTTTTTTAAAGAAAAACTACAAAACAGTAATTACACCACCTGTTTTTAAGGAGTAAAAGTATAGGCAATTTTTTACAAAATCTCAACTTTAAGGTTAAACTGTGATATGTAATTATTAGTTAAGTAGGTAGGACTTTTTTTTGGTAGTTATATTATTTTTCGGGCTATCACAGCATCCTTGACAGCGATTTTAAAAAAAAATTCTTTTGAGTTGAGCTTTACGCGGATTAATTTTTCTCATAGATAGTTAATAAAGGGGTCACATCATTTTCAGTTTCTTTCGGACCCTAACTCAAAAAATTTTAAGAGAAAAATGATTAGAGACCAGAAATAAATTATAGGTGGTAAAACCACAGAATAACCAGAAGAGAAAGTTAGGCCGGAACTGATAAGTATCCGACATAATGTTTTTTCGGCAGGTGACCAGTTATAGAAAATTCCCATAATACCACCGATGTCTGTTTTTCTGGTTACACTGTTTATTCAGCGGGTAGAATTCTTTTTAAATTTCTAAACAAAGTACAGGATGATCTTTTAAATTTAAAATTCTTGAGTGGACGTCACACACTCGTTATTTTTTTCAAAAAACCCGCCTTGCGCGGATTAATTTTACCAAGGCTGTAATCAAAACTAAGAAACCAAATTTTAACATAATATAGACAACAACATTGTCTGTGCTCTACGATGGAATTTTTTAAAAATATTTCAACCAATTAATGAATAATTAATTAATCAAGAAAAGATTTTTTTGACGTTTTTAAAAATGATATAGCATCGGTTGCATTAGGTATATCGAAAAAATATGGATGCTGGAGCACAGATAATTTTGTCATATATAATATTTTTGAATTTCTTTCCTTAATTAAAAAAATAAAAGAATCAAGGAATGGATGACTAAAGGTTTGCTCAAATCTACACGAAAAGAACATGAATTATCAAAAAAGGTTAAAAAACACCCACTAAACTCAAAGTTGCTCTCATATTATAAAATATAGCAGCTAAAATTAAACTGTATAAGGATACATTTTCTAAAACTATTGGAAGTCCTAAACTAACTTAAAACTTAATTAATGAATTAACTGGACCCAAAAATGTCAATAATCATAATTTTGTTTATTTTATACATCAATGCTATTTGTGATAAGTGATAACTTAGCGGTAAGAATATGGTTAGACAAAAAAGAACGACAATTCTCATCAGCTTTAAATTACAAAACATTAAAAGTGTTTCCAGTTAGAGTTCTTTATAAGCTATTTGCATTTGTAAATGTTTCTAAACAAATCTATAAATAAATGTGAAAGTAAAAGAGAATTAAGAGCATATGATGTTAGTGCTAATTACACAAATAAGCAATTTAGTCAGAGGTTTGTTGATTACCTAGGTCCAGTTTTGTATAACTCATTACCTTTGAATATAAAAAAAAATATTTTTGATCATTATACTTTAAAGTCTAATAATTTTGAGTACATTAAAAGAACTGTAAAACTTGGTTATTAAGTGAATTTGTGTAAATAAAAATGTTATCGTGTAACTTTAACAGATAGTTATGTATAAAACTTAGTTTTATTGATAAATGTCAACATGTAAAATGTAATTGTTTTCTCTTAATATGTTTTGTAACTCATTTAGCCCATCACAAGCTTTGCTTTCTGGGTTAAATTATCCAGCTGTAAATTGTTTTCATATATGTAAAAACTTGTATGTTTAATAATTTTCTGTAAGACTCGTGATTTTATTACCGGATTACATCGAAAAAGTTCTATAACTTTTTCAAGCCCCGGTTAAATGTGTTTGAGGTATATGATTAAAGATGTATTTGTGAATTTTGAAAATTTGTAATTTTGTTAAATCAATAAACGACGAAAATAATAAATTAGTTAGTTTATTACGCGATAAAAATAACGCAAACACTTTTAATCTAGATCAAATTTTGAAAAAAAAAATGAGCGGTGAAATTACAGCTTACAGCCGTATTAAGCACTGGCCTTTGTGGACGAGCTAGCGTTAATCTGCGTGCGCAAATCGGTGACCGCGTCCAGGCGTGTCTTGCGCGCAAAGTCCGAAACGCTCTTCATGGATCCGGAAAAGGCTTTGAGTACGCTGTTGAGTCCTCCGCTGGCCGTTCTCACGATCGGAACGGTGGCTATGTATGAGTCGACGGCGTCGACGGCGCCGGACACGGCACCGGTCACGTCGGACGCAACTCCGCTCACCCCGTTGACCGTGGACACGCCCAGGCCGGTCACGGCCAGACCACCCCTGCCGACTGCTCTCAGCACTTCCTCCACGCCCGTCGAAGCTTCCGTCGCGAAAGTCGATAGCACCGAAGTCAATTCATCCACAACGCCTCCGGCCGCACCCGAAGCGGACGCCTCCGCCGCCGCTGCCACCGCCACTTCATCGTCTCTGACGGCCAGTTCCGATGGTCTGCTCCGGACCAACTGCGTGACATACACACCATACACATATGAATGAATAAACATAACCAGCATAAAACGTAAATTCCCCCCCCTCCAAAAAAAAAGTTTAGTAGATGGGCGGGGTATCATTGAATCGGACATTTCAAAAACGACAAAGTTTCGTTTGCTTTTGAAAGAATCTGGTTCGATTTCCCTCTAATATTGCCAACACTCAAAACTGCACCTGATTCTTAGATAATTGCCTTCTGATTTTTTATGCAGTACATAGCAATTAATATTACAATAAAAAAAGTATAGTAAATAATATAAATCATTATAAGTGAAACTAATAGAAATCACTTCCAATGCGTATCTGAAGACGATAGACGTACAAAAAGCAATGACACAAGCTTTATTACAATAGCTATAATGTCTTAAAATTATATTTTGAATATTAGGGCGGATACGATTAAGGTTTATCGTCTGTTTGTCATTCTACAATAGTTTGTTTCCGTTGATCCCATTAAACGTATTTCATCATATTAACAAAATATTTTTCAAGAGACCTATTGATTAGAATTTAAAAAAGGTGCTAATGCTTTATCTAAGTTTTTACAAAAAAATGAAGAAACAAAAAAAGATAAAAGCTTTTTTTCATAGCACTCACAGTTAGATCGAAACGAATTTAAAAGAAAAATACATATTTTTACCCACAGGTTATGTAAGATATACTCTCAATGCAAGAAAACATCCAACTCCACTTCATGCTCAATTACTATCACATGCTTACTTCAATGATTACAAAAAAAACCCTTATTTACAATTCCATTAGGCCTGGGAAGACCACAGGGGATCTTGAGTGTAAGGATTTAAGATGACTCTTGTATGATCCCACTGGAGTTATGCATTACAAATTAACATTTTATGATCCTTGGGCCGAATTACCCCAACAATCACTAAGGAACAAGGATGTCCTTGCTAAAAAAGTATTACAGCCATTGTACACTCGCCCACTAAAACTCACTAGAAGTAAATGGGACGATTTACAGAAGTTAAAAAAAGTTTACCAGTGGATGTTCACTCTTTTTATGACCAACTGCCATGTGAATCAGTTTTCAAAGAAAGAAAACAAAAACTGTGAATTATTATTAACTAAGATTTTAATGTTTAATATTTTGTACTTCATAACATAAGATAAACAAAGACTGTTAACTGTTAAAATGATTAGGTATTTTAATAACATTGCTTACTGTTTTATTATTTAGTTTTTAAGTATTTATAAAATAACAAGATCACTATTTTGCAAAATTATACCCAGTGCCGGATTTAACCATTGTGACGCTTTAAGCACTAAACAAATTGCCGCCTTTTAATATAAATATTTTTCTAGTCTAAAAAATGTTATTAAAGCATACAAATATAGTTGTTTCCTTTATTACTTAAAAGTTTATTGATGTAAAATAAAAATATACATCTGTTATAAAAATGTATACATACACTCATATGAAAAACTTAATTATAAAAAATATGATATAAAACATAATGATAAAAAACATGGTAGTAAAAAATGCTTAAATAATTAATTTTTAAATTATATTCAAAATGAAATAGTTAGTGCCTAGTACTCGTCGGCTTTCTGCGCGACTTTTGAGTCGCATAATCATCTACTATGACATCGAAGTCCATTATGTTCACTAGTTCAGTTTCAATTGTCAATAAACTCAGTGAATTTAGTTTATCCCCTTCCATACTTGTTCTCAAATAGTTTTTTACGCGTTTTAACGTAGAAAAAGACCTCTCGGCTGAGCAGTTAGCTAACTGCCATACACAAAATCATACGTAGAGCAATATCTACGTTAGGAAAAACTGTATATAAATTATTACCGCGTAAGAGTATTGATAACTCGTTAACTCCATCAATATTTTTATTTATACTTTGAAGATATGCTCGAAAATGAACACATTCACAAGCAAATGATTTTTCTAAATCAACGTTATAAAATTCTTGAAGCTTATTAGTGTCAACTTCATTCAAAATAATGTTTGTTTTAAAAAAAAATCTATTTTTGGGGCTTTTTGCACTAAGTTATTTAGTTTAATTTTTTTTTCTTTCGCGATTTTTTTTATACTTATAGCCACTCAAACGTGATCGACCGTGCGGACCGTCACTCATTTTACTAGTTTTATTTAAAAAGTCACAAATCAAAATAAAAAAAAATCAAATATTAGCACTATCACTATAGTGTTTACTGGGAAATACGGCACTGATTATACCTAATTAAACATAGTGATAAATAGGTCATTATAATAAGTATATTGCATTATATTTTAAGTTTGAAATAGCATTAAAAGTCAAGATTATCTATAATGTTAAAGTAATTCAATTATTTGAAAATGTTAAATTATAAAAATAGAGGTAAGTTTTAGATACCAAATAATTTCAATGTGTAATTATGTAATGACAATAGATCTATTTAAAATCAAATTAAGCAAAACACTATAAAATTTGTTACTTAATATAAAATATGTTTTTTATTTATTTATATTTTTAAAATAATTAAAAATATTATTAGTTAAGAGTATTCAGGTGTAATGTTAAAGTACTAACAATAACAACTATCTCACAGAAATTTGGTAAATACCACGTATCTTAACTAATTTTTTTACACTAACTAAATTTAAAGAATTTTATATAAAATAATGTTAAACAACCATAACTTAAATTTAAATTTAAAAAAAAGTGAGTTACATAATGTTTGTTGTTATTTATTCAGTTTTTTCATTCTCCTGAAAAATAGGTAAAATGTAGATACGTGGTATTGTCAAAGTGTAGCGATTTATAAACAAATATCAAACAAAAAAATGTTTATGACATAATTTCCTATTCAAAAATTCTCTTTTACATTTTTAATTAAACCTATAGTTTTACGAAAAAATAATTTGAATTTCGAAAGATTAAACAAATTACAATAATCGTTTATACCTTTTTTAAATATTGGCAATATTTAATATAACTTTGGCGAAAGCACAAAACTTTGAACTTTCCGGAGCTTATAAAAAAACCTCCCATTCGACCTAAGGGGACTTAAGGTATACTTAAGTTCATATATTAATAAGTCTTTTGAAAATAGCACAAATTCAAACCACTTCTTCTATTGTAAAAAAAAAAAAAAAATTCAACTCTACAATTATTTTGTTTAACAGGAGAAACTATAAATATGTAAATTAAAAAAAAACCAAACAAAGACATACTTGAAACGGACAAGCGACGATCAGAGCAATAACGAGCGCGTTGCAGTAGGTTTGACTTGCGGACGACATTTTCTTTATGTAGAATTAAATACAAGTTATTTTAAATTTAACTCGAAAGTTTCACTTAAACGATTAATTTTTAAATAATCGTTTTGAACATAAATCGTTTATATAATACAACGTGACCCGCTACTCTGTGTTTATGCCGACACAATTAAAACATTTTTATTACATATTATGTACACACTTATCAGTATGTAACCCGATAATTATTAGTATTTTTTATTTTGTACATATTTACATTTATATCATTTTTGTCAACATTGAAACGTTAATAAAAAAAAATACTGTTAACACACTTTTACTACACGGCGATCAAAGTCCAAACTCTTAAACGGGGTCGTTTACTGCTGCTGTTTAAATAAAACGATGTTGACTAAAAAGAATAAGGTCAGAGTACGTCATTTGATTAAAATTAAGAAAGGTGGATCGAGTGGAAGGTAGACGACCCAATTTACTTTTTTTTTGCCAAAGTATGTGTCATGAAAAAAAACGCGTAGGGCCAACATATTAATAATTTTTTTTTTAACTCGTTAAAATTAAATATTAGCGAAATGGTTTTTAACAGTTAAAAGTCAATAAGAAACTATTGTACGCGAATCAGTCGAGTTTACAAATAAATATTAACTCAATGTGTATATTTCAAGAATTTTAGGGTATTGAGTTCATAGCCTTTTTGGAAAAAATACTTTTTGTAAATTGAATAGCCTTTTTCCAAAACTTATTATGTACCAACGAAATAATATTAATAATAAGAATTTTTTAATATATATGGCGCATTAAATTTGATCTTAAAATAATTAGTGTCTAAATATTTTTTTTTTCTGCCTAAATACATTTTAAATTTATAATATTTTTATAAGTCGAAGCATTTATAAATATAATCAAATGACATAATATGGCATATGTATTACATCTATCCAAAATCAAATAATTAGTTATTTTTCAATTTTAAGGGTCTTATAGGGTCATGCCAACTACGACTTTATTTTCAGATTCGAATATTGAAAAACTTGATAAAAATCAAACACGTCAAATCAGCTAAAACAAAATGATGTAAGAACATTTCTGCCAAGCATTGGACAATTCTTTGGGAAATGTGGTTTTTATTACCGCGGATTTAAGGAACGAAAGCAATTTTCTAAAACATTAAATGAAGAATCTAAATGATAAAATTAGAAATTTATCTACAATTTTTTAAATAAACAAATTTTTTGCTAACTCGGTTGACGCGTCTGGAAAGGCTCATGATAGACTAGCCAGGTTTATTATTTAGAATATTAAGAGGAGGCTTACTAATGAATGAATTAATTTTATTTTTATATCAACAACAAAATTTCGGCGCGCTGCTGATCGACTCTTACGTAGGTGCTATTATGAGATACAATAATGACTGTTGAAGCAATTTTCCCGATCTCATCCCGAAAGAGTATGCAAGACCAGGAGGTGCGCGAAGTGCGGGCGAGATCATAATAGCTTATAACATTTGCCTCGTATTGATAATAATATTAATAGGACGGAATCGCATATAGATAGTAACACGACAATAGAAGAAAATGATAAACCAGCGGTATCTGTAAACGCACACATTTATCAGGGTAATAACAATAACAGTTCCGTGTTATTAGCGACTGCCGTAGTTCAGCGCCGGCGGAATGGCAGGGCAGAAGGGGCAGCTGCCCAGGGCGCTTAACAAGTGTCGTCTGTCATATGAATTTTTTTTGGTATTTTAATCTTTAACTTCAACATTATTTTTAGTAGGTCGGTACTCGGTACCTATTATAATATATTGTTATCGCTTTGGTGATAAAATATGATATCAATACTATAGTCCAAGAATAAAAATTCAAAATTTACTCCGTGCTAGAAAAAATTCCCATAGTTTTGATATTTGGCACAACTGTTCACCTTAGGGTACTTATTAACATACTAAAACTCCTAACCGCTCAAGCGTACGCTCGCTCTGCTCTGCTCTGCTCAATATGAGAAAAATCAGTTTTTCACTATTTTCTCAAAAAGTTTCAGCTTGACAAAAAATGTACATCTATACATTTTTGTTAAATGTTTAATTTACTATAAAAAAGATTCGTTGGAAATTTCTTCCAAAACCAATATTTTCTTCAATAATTAGCAAAATGCAAAGGGTAGTTTACATTTTTGGCAATAAACTGAATATTATTATAGTTTCGCCGTTTGCGTTATTCTATATAATTAGACATGACTACTAAAGATAAAATCAATTTTATATTATAATTATTTATTTAGAAATCCTATATACGAATATATATATAGATATTAAAATAAAAGACAAAATCGATTATAGCCGTTGTCGTTTTGTCGGAATGGAATCAACGTCAATTTGTTCTTTTGAAGTAACGTCATCGATATCATCATCGTCTGAGTCTTCTAAGTAAGCATTGAGGCACGATTGTCCACTACGCGCACACGCTATCGAACACTTTAAACCTACAAATCGTTTAATAAAATTATTATCGGTTTTTTAGATTATATTATTAGAAGAGACGAGGAAGAAGCAGTGAGAGGTGTAATGAAAATAAATGTAAAGAGAAAGAACGAAGAAATTATGGATAGAGAGTGATATGAGAATAGCTGGGGTAATTTAGCAAGATGTAGAATATCGAGCTTAATGGAGTTGTAGGACTAGGTAACCGACCACCATGTAGTTGGGATTGTAAGGTGTAATAAAAAAGAATAAGAAGATAACTAGTCTAGTCTAGCCAGCTAGTAGACTAGCTACGTTACATCGGTTTTTAGACATTTCAATTTAAAAACATATTTTTTACCATGTTTTCTGCATCCACAAGCTTGGCCACAGCCTTTCGTACAACTGCATGAAATCATTTTTAAAAGACAATCAGGCGCTGGTTTTTCCTTAATAGAAATCGGCAGTAAACCATTTTCGTAATGGTCCATCCCCATGATCTTCTGCATTTTTTTCAACGCCAATCCAATGTTGTATTTGGTGGTATGCGCGATACGAATGATAATTAGCTGCATTTTCAGTTGGTGGCAGTCCTGACATATTTGATTTATTTTTTGTCGTACTTCTAGTAAAACATTTATATCTGTATTCATTTAAAGAAATTTATTTTTCTGGCGCTCCATATAACGCTAAAATATAAATCTGTCCTGCTTTGGCAATAGAATCAGACGTAGCATTTTCATCATAAAACACTGATATTATGCTGCTACTATCTTCTCTTTTATGTAATAGTTTAATATGCTTTAATTTTCCAAATTGAAAAAACTTGATACTGTGTCACAACCACTAAAGGCGTGTAAAAATATCAAATTCTTTTTTATGACATCATCTAATTTACAATTAGCCGAATAAATTCTTTTTGATACGGTTTTACCTTTAGATGGTTTAATAAAATATATATTTTTTTTGAGGAGTTAGAACAGTAAGTAATATTAATAAATCAACGTCTTCACCAACTATTGCAACTGATTAGTAGCTGATAATTGTAGTTCTGTGTTTACTATTAAGGTATCTGCGACGTCAAGGGCATTTTCCACCTGATAGTTCTCATCTTTAAACTTGTTTGTCAGTAAATTTATTAAAAGGCGTTTGTTATTTTCGTTTGACAAAAATGGTTGTTGCCTAATTGTGACATTCGTTTTATCATTAAATATAATGTCGACTGATCTGCTATTTTGAGTACGTCTTCTCCTCTCGTAGTTTTTTGTGTTTTTAGAACTTTCATTGTATCCATCAAAAACAATTACTACATTTGAGCCATAATATTTCTTTACAAAAGATATATAAGCATTACAAACATACATAAATGTTTGATTTGGTTGCCAAGGGACACGATGTAAAAGATTTGACTTGTATATATATGTAATATATATATATATATATAATATATATTACATAGATAACACCGATATCTTATATTATATACCACAAAGAATAGAAGCAAAATGGTCTCTTCCAATGTAAACAAAAACTATACACAACTAATAGAATAATGTATAGGTATAACATTTATATGACTCTCTAATGAGAAGACCGACGCGTTTTTGTGTGGTTACTGTATATACCATGTACATTTTTATTTTTAACCGGTGTCAGAGGCATGCGTATACCAATATTCAGAATACAAATAAACTACGAACAATTTTTATTTATTATGCCTATAAACAGTACAATACAAAACAGTAATAGTCAGTTTATAGAAAAAAATGTAAACTACCCTTTGCATTTTGCTAATTATTGAAGAAAATATTGGTTTTAGAAGAAATTTCCAAAGTATCTTTTTTATAGTAAATTAAACATTTAACAAAAATGTATAGATGTACATTTTTTGTCAAGCTGAAACTTTTTGAGAAAATAGTGAAAAACTGATTTTTCTCATATTGAGCAGAGCAGAGCAGAGCGAGCGTACGCTTGAGCGGTCAGGAGTTTTAGTATGTTAATAAGTACCCTAAGGTGAACAGTTGTGCCAAATTTCAAAACTATGGGAATTTTTTCCAGGTAACAATGCTATAATTCCTGAACTACTAAGAAATAATCAACAGAAAAATTTTGATTTGCCTGCGTTATTGTTTATTTATAGTACAAAAATTATTACTCCTTATCTTGTATGTGCCCACATGCAATTTATTGTAGGTAGTTGATTTTACCGTCACTAGACACATTATTTCTAAATAATTGTTATCGTCGATATTTGTTTTTCATTTCACGACTGGCATTCGACACGTGTATGGTGTATCAATTGTTAATAGCTGGAATATAGTATTGGTAAGTTTTGAATGTTTTTGTTTCTTTTTTAACAATTATTGAAACCTAAGATATATTATTTCGCGTAAACGAATAACGATTTCTTCAAACGTTTAAAATGTAAGGCGAAAATTGAATACCGCTTTTAGTTTTTGCATTCGGAGTCGTGCGTATATTTTGCCTAGTTAATAGTTAGGCTCTTACAAATAGTCAATATACTATTCCTTTATAATAATTCATGAATGCATATTTTTTGCATTGAAGTGCCAGGAAACCCCTTTTCATTTTTCCGTTAATAAAATAAAAAGGTTTTGCAATGTTTCTAATTATTATTTAAATTCAAAAAGAGCTTTTATCAATATATATATTTGTC